GATAATTGCATTTCATTTTCATTCTGTTTAATATTCAACAAGTTGAACAGATAATCCACCCTAACCCCGCTACTTGGTATCGGTATCGGTATCGGCGAGTACCCAAACTCAAGTACTCGTATTTGTACTCAGTCTTGAAAAAACTGGTATCGGGACACCCCTATTTCTCATACTTACTTTTATTGACTATAGTCTTATCAGGTCAAACAGTAAACAATAGTGTTTACTGTTTGACCTGATAACACTTTTTAAGAATCCACATTACAAAAAAAGTAATAAAAGTATGTATGGTTCATTCTAGCATTGTATCAGGTAAGGGTTAGTATCAGTATCGTATTGAAAGTTAAATTTTTGGATCAGGACAGCACAACTGAAAAGACTTTGAGTTCACCAATCCAAAAAATAAGGCCTTAATTAWCCATAAAATGTCTTAAATCAATCTTTCAGAAGTATTAAAAATGTCAGCATTGTAAGTAGAATAATTGTAATTCGTCTCAAATATTAAAGTAATTAGGAACGTTTATTTTTAGAAATAATTTACAGAATGCTTCTTGCAGTTTATGTTGAAAATTCTTATTTGATAAACTTGTCGCCAACTGTTTTTTTTATTTTTATTAATGCTTATTGTAAAGTTGGTGTTAAATTTCATTTCAAGCGGCATTAAAAAGTCTTAAATTTAACTTGTGTTAAGCTGTAGTCCCTGCCGGTGGTCAGCGTTGAGGTCTTGTGGTTTTGAGCAGTGGTGGGCAGCACTAATCTAAATATCAGTTGCACTAACCCTGAAGCACTAACGCAAATATTTAGGTCCCCTAATTCTAAAGCACTAATAAATGAATAACAAAACCTGAAAAATTACCTCAATAAATCCAGTAAAAACAAAATATACGTTATTACTTGTCAAGATTACTTAAGTTGCTTATGCTGGATCCATATTCATTTTTTGGCTAATATCGGACCAATATCCGATACTGCTATTGGATCGGGACACCCACTTTTAAGACTTTTTAAAGATCCACGTGAACCCAGCCTTTGGTTAGACAGGAATCTGTGACATAATTCAAGACCATACCAATGCTTAGAATCATGCAACAAAAAAATGTTTTTTTTTGCACAAATGTGATTTTTCCTTCCTAAAACCATTTTTGCCAAGTCAGCTGTTGACCACAAAAACCAATCAGCTCAACGTATTTTTACCCAAATTAAAAGAAAAGAAATAACCACAGCTTCTTTAWGTGCTTCAAGTCTTCCAGTTTCACTTCCCGTCCAAGTTAAGATACCTGTGATTTCCCTCCATTGTGTTGTCAGGCAGATGACAAACCATTTTCRCAGTGGAAGAGCCAAACCAAAGCCCGTTTTCCTGCCAACAGCAGCTRCTATGGCAGCACGGTGGGAGGCCCGCTTTATAGGAGCAGGTCACGTCTTTAAAAGGGCAATTGGGACATTTCTTCTAAGCTGTGCTAACATTCAATCGCCTGTAAGTGAGTGTCATTTGGACTGAGGAAACGCTCAATCAAAACACCCAAACTGCTGTGGTTCAAAAGAAAAATACCCAAGAAAGGGGATATTGTTGTCAATCCTTACGCTTTGCAGTAAATTCCTTTAACAGGAGTTTATTTTTAAAAAGTGTGAGCTGAATCATCGGCAAACAACTGGGTGTACCCTAATCCTCCACCTCTGCACAACTGGATCCACATGTGCAGCCAAACCGGCACTCATTAAGGCTCCGTCTACTTTCTGGAGTTTGAAAWTTTGAAAATCAAGAGCCTCACTGAGAGGAGAGAAAGGAATGGAGAGGAAGGGAGGGGAGGAGGGCGATCACRCTCCAGTGCACAACTTCAAAAGGAACTTTCAGAGAAGTGATGGAGCACATGGGAGACCTTAAAAAAAACCCTGCCAGGCAAGCCAAGTACAGGACAGGACAGACATTTAGCCTGTATCCAGATCCACDTCAAAGCTTCAGAACAGAATAAAATACAACCTTATTTTGACCCTTAGCAGAGAATTTACATCGCTGCAACAGCAGAGGTGTTGATCACGATGTAATGCAAGACATTTTCATGTAGATGCTAAAGAGTAAAAAAGAAAAACGAATGGATAATTAGGTATATCTGTAAAAAAAGAAAACTACCAAATGAATTAGGAAACCAATGCAAAACAATCAGGTTTGTTTCTGATTTTCCTAGAATGTAAGAATGAACAGTTTTGTTTTATCCTATAATCTACTGACAGCATTTCTTCCACATTAAAAAAAAGCCTTTACAGTGTTCAGCTACACAATATGACAAACAGTCAAAATAGGTGCAAAGTAACACATCGCAGTGTTTTAACTGAGAAAGAGAYCAGGAATAAATATTTGGTGCAACAACTCTGATTTTTTAATCCCAGCTTTGAAGCATTTTGCCACGATGGCTAGCAGGCTTTCACTGTTGCTGTTCGGGGACTTTCTGCCACTTCTGGAGTAAAAAACTCAATCAGATCAGCTGCTTGATGGTGTCTGACCATCCATCTTTCTTTTGATTATATTTAATAGAGTTCAAGTCTGGATCTGACAGTGCTGCATGCACACCTGAACCCCACTGAAAACCTCAAAACTGAACAGGGTTGTATGAAAATATTGCTATACTAAAATATCAATGTTGTAAGAAGATGTGTGAAATGCAGTTCTCCCTGTTGTTCATTGTTCTTCTGATGGCATAAAATAAACCAAACTCAATCAGATTTTATGCATATCAACATACCATGACGTTCTCATTATATTTAGTTTTTTAAATTATATTTTTAAATAAAATGAAATGGCAATATATCATCTTGCTTATAGTATCGTGATATATCGTGACCCTTGTGTCTTGATATGATATATTGCGATATAGATATCATGACCATTGTGTGGTGATATATCGCAATACATCATGACCCTTTTTGTCATAATATATCATGATACATCGTGACCCTTTTGTCATGATATATCATGATACATCGTGACCCTTGTCATGATACATCACGATACATCATGAGCCTTGTGTCATAATATATCACGATACATCGTGACCCTTGTGTCATAATATATCATGATACATCGTGACCCTTGTCATGATACATCACGATACATCGTGAGCCTTGTGTCATAATATATCATGATACATCGTGACCCTTGTCATGATACATCACGATACATCATGACCCTTGTGTCATAATATATCACGATACATCATGACCCTTGTGTCATAATATATCACGATACATCGTGACCCTTGTGTCATGATATATCACGATACATCGTGACCCTTGTGTCATAATATATCACGATACATCGTGACCCTTGTGTCATAATATATCACGATACATCGTGACCCTTGTGTCATAATATATCACGATACATCGTGACCCTTGTGTCATAATATATCACGATACATCGTGACCCTTGTGTCATATCATGATACATCGTGACCCTTGTGTCATAATATATCACGATACATTGTGACCCTTGTGTCATTTCACGATACATTGTGACCCTTGTGTCATAATATATCATGATACATTATGACCCTTCTGTCATAATATTTCACGATACATCATGAACCTTGTGTTGTGATATGACATATCGTGATGTATCATATCAAGATCCTTGTGTGATGATATATCACAATACATCGTGACCCTGGTGTTGTGATATATCGCGATATAGCATATTGTGAGTACTGTATCATGATATGCATTGAATCACCAAATCCATAGCCCTGAAACTGAACCCTTCTTTCCTTCACTTAAATTTTTACTTTTTAACTCCTCATGCATGGTCAATGTTTTTTTTATTTTTTCCCAATTACTTTTGAGTCACTACTAGCTCTGTTTTTGTAATATAACGTATCCTATTGCTGCTATTGTTTTTAGACTTTTCCTCGTTAGAAAAGATTTGGCTCAGGTGATCGCCTCATTAAACAGATTGTGTTGGAAGTCACCAAAGAATGGACCTGAATGGGTGTCAAGCTGATTTTGAAAACAATTGTTAGAAGCGACCATTTGTTCCAGAGCTGTAGAATACATTAGAATAAAGACATTTGTTGTAGTTAAAAGAATGCAGACAGTTTTATACAACTTGTTTTGGTGATTTTGGACGCGGAGGACCTAAGCTCGCAAAACAATCCCAGACTTCCAGAGACAGTTTACCAATAAACTCCCAACAGTTTCACAAAACTGGACCATAAACCACGTGCATCCAACAACGGGCCAAGCTTTGCCCCCAATRAGTCACTGATAACCATTCAGAAACTGGACTTTTTGTTTCCCACTCACCCTGATTCTCCTCATGGCAGCAACAATCTCCACTCTGCTGCTCGGCCTGGCCACATCCAGACTGCCGATGTACTGAAGGAAGGAGGAACAGGAAATATGACAAGTAGAATAAGTTTATTATTGGGGGGGAAATTAAAAAAAAACTGGCGTGCACTTTATGTTTACTAAAAACAGCTGAAGTGTCGACCTCAAACAGGAGCTAATCGTGCGTAAAYTTTAACTTGAGTTTCCTGGAAACCAGAAAGTCTTGGTTCTGTCTGCAGATGTCTGACTCAGACGTTTGGTGCGTGAAACAGATGTTGTCTGACTGTAAGGACAGACATTTCAGCTGCTTTCAGTTCACACTGAATTCACCTTTGCCTCGAAGTTGATCCCATGCTGGAACGCTTCCTCGTTGTGCAACGGGATCCTCAGATCGTGTCCATCATCCACCAGGTTGTATTTGGTTCTCCCGGGCATTTTCCAATAATTATATCATCCACTCTGCATACGAAGGGTGAAGYCGCATCAAGCCGGGGTAATTAATGGTGGTAATCCAAGCAGAATAATCCCAGATCCGGTCATAACGCAGCGAGGCGTTCCTCCTCCGCCGCCGCCTCGGAGCAGCTGAGAGTCGGGCAGAACTTCAGCGGCGCTCCGGTGAGGTGAGCCTCCGCTCCTGCGGGGGGGGGAAGTGAAATAAGCTCCGACAAGACAGAAGGTGAAAAGAGACGACGTGACGCGGCCACACGGGCGGCTCTTCCCGGACTTTTTTTCTTTTTCCCTCCCGGGTTGAGTGTGGAAGTTGCTGGTCGCGTCGGTCCTGCCTCCGGTTCTGGGCCGACTCCCACCGCCGCGCGGAGGGACGTTTTGATTGGAGGAGTCCGGGGATCCCACCTGTTTCCATTGGAACAGGGGCGCACCGCTGCGCGCAGGAGGAGGGGCTCAGACCTCTGGTACCTGCCCCCCTCCTCTGCCCCTCCCCTCCTCCAAACACACAAACACACCCAGAAAAACACACAAACAGGTGTCACTCACCAAACTTTGACTTTGTGGAAAAAACAGAGTTGTCACACAAAATAAAATAAAAACAGCCTTTATTTACCTGTCTGCTTTGGCTTTTTAAACTATTTATTATTATTTGTTTTATAGAATCAGAATCAGTCAGAATATCTTTGTCATTTCAACAAGTGCAAATTCTCTTACGTTGTCGGATATAAACAGGATAAAGAAAGGTGTAAAAAGTATTTACGAGTTGACATTGTATGGGGAGCCAGGTGTAAAATAAAAYGTTAGAAAAATATTTAGCTTAATTTCTAAGAGTTAAAGATTGTCCACTAACATCATATTATTAAGCTCACTTTTCTTACATTTTTTTTACTAAATGTTAAATTAAAATGTTAAAAAATATATCTAAATATTAAACCCTGAATCTAAATGCATACATGTCAATTTGTACGGTAAGTTATAAGGATTTTACGTCGTTTTGCAGGTATACGGACGTATAGAGCAAGCTCACAAATTTTTTTTTCAAGTCTTACGGATTTTTTCTAATCCACATTTTCAAATTTATTTAACATGTCAGAGCCTGTAGGATGATTTAAAAAACAATAACATCAATAACATGCTTCGCAGCAGGTGCTTTCTTATCCGCAGCCAACAGACCCCCACCCCCCAGTGTAAATTTTTTGCAAAATTTACAGATTTTGAGGATCTTTATTCTGGTAAATATCCAAAGAGGTTGACTTATATGTAAATGTAGTTAAAAACCTAAATGTTGACGTTTTCATTTGGGGATTTCAAAATGAAACACAGCCTTTGCTTTTGGTGCTCGGCTCTTACGATGTCATCATCTTGCGACAATACCAACTGCTAACACTGCTAACGCTACTAATGCTTCCCTACAACATATCAAAACATGCAGTTGTGGCCGGTGTCCGAGCGAAACGTCAAACTGCTGGACCACAGGTACCACCCATATTGTTTTCAGTGAAGACATTTTGAATTTAGATTTTAAATGCCATCTTTAGCTGKGTTAGCAGTGGCTAGCGTTGACGTTTGTCGCGGGAAAATGACATCATCCTGTTAGCTAATGCTAACTGCGGCTAACATCTTTAATGTGGCTGCTGCAAATGCAAATTTGATGTCTTGTAGGGAAGAGTTCGCAATGCATTGCAAGTGTTAGCAGCATTAGCACTGTTAGCAGTGTTAGCAGTGTTAACAGAAGATTTCCTAACAAGAGCTGACTTAAAACTTAGATGTTTAACAATAACTTTACATTTAGATTCACTCCTTTATATTGAGAATTTAATATTTAGATATAMTTTTAAACATCGAAATTTAACATTAAGTTAAAATTTTAATAAAATGTGAGAATAGTGAGCTTAATAACAAAATGATAGTGGAATTTTTAACACTCAGAAAGYGAGCTAAATAATAAAAACTGTGTAATTGAGATTTTGTTTAACATTTTACTTTACACKTGGCACCCATTGAATTACACACAGCTCACTTTTCACATTTTAAGGGTTGTTTTTACTTATTTCTAAAAATAAAATAAAAATAAGTAATACCTGGAAGGTGTTATGTGGTATTTGTGAATAAAACCAAGCAGCCAATCATGTTTTCAGTTAAAGAACATGTTAGGGTTTTACAGGTGAGGACCAAACTCCTGAGCAACTCTTAAAAAGGCCAAGGCTGCCAACTAGTGGCCGCATGTGCCATTACACCCTGAAGGAGCTCCTGTGTTTGTTTCCATCTGTCCTGGGAGCAGAGAGGCCGGTGGTCCCAGGCGGTTAGACGAGGGGAAGTGGGGCAGAACAAATTCACATTCCCGTCACCTCTTTGGAGAGATACAAAGTAACTGCTCCTAATAACATCCTCAGGGTGAAGTAGCACATGACCACATGGATTTGGCTCAAACGTAGCTTCAAATATTTCAAACCTGTGCTGAGATCTCTATTTTTGATCATTTTGCATTATAGCTGTTTTTTTTTTATGTGGTGAGTAAAAAAAAGCATATTATAGGGCGTCAAGTGTAAAATAAAATGTTTAAAAAATCACTAACATAACTTTCATTATTTAGTTCACTGTTCTTACATTAAATTTTTTACTAAATGTTAAATATAAATCTTAAAATATATTTTTAAATAAATCCAAAATCTAAATGTTTAAATTTAAATTCAACCTTAAACCTTAAATGTTGAAGTTCACATTTAGGTATTTTGGAATGGAATGCAGCCTTTGGTGTAAGGGCTCGGCTCATGCTATGATGTCATCATCCTGAGACAATAGCAACCGCTAGCTCTCCAATGCAGCTAAAGCTTCCCTACAAGACATCAAACTTGCCGATGCAGTCGGTGTTTGAGTTGCACTTCAAACTGCTGGACCACAGGGACCACCCATATTGTTTATATTATTTTTAGTAGCATTATGGGCACGACACACAGGGAGTGACAAATCACAGCGATTAACGTCTGTCATCGCAACCAGGGTGAAACCTAACACACGAGACGCGATATTGCGAATCGTGCTCTCGGGTCGCTTATCTTCACGAAATTAATTGGTTCTTCTACAGCTTATTGGTGGTTCACAAAAAATGGGGGGGGGTTGATATTATTGAAAAACGAACAAACGCCAAGATACGATTTTATGAGGTAAAACTTACCAGAAAACATCACACTGGCACCAACAACTTCCCATAAAGCTGTCTATTTTTAGTAATCCCTTGGTGAAGGGTCATAAATTGTAAAGTTTGACAGCTAAAATAACGTTGAAAGTGTTAGCTAACTGCAWTGTGTGGCACACTCTCCTCTCATTGGTCAGTCAATGAAACCCTCACTGATTGGTTGTACGCCAAGCGACAGCGACAAAAGTTGAACATTTTTCAACTTTAAAGGGCTCGACACACGGGAGGCGACGTCGCTCGCTCTCCATTCATTTCCTATGGAGCCTGTGCAGTGAAGCGACAAAAGCTTGCCCTCTTCCATCTAAGCGACCGGCGGTTTTCTTTTTGGTTTTCTTTTAACAATGG